GGCGAAGTCGGTGCGATGGCGAAGTCGACGCCAGTCAGAGCGAGGACACAACGCCGACGAAGACGATCGAGGTCGCCGAGGTGCTCCGGGTCCCCTCCGACAGTCCTCCTCTCTGCAAAAGAAGAAAAACATCACTAAAAGTTGAAAATTTTGGCGTAACCTCCCTCGCACGGGAGGTTTCCAAAACTCAAGAAAAAACCGCTTCAACGATGGCCGACGTCCCACATTTGGGGCATGATGGCCAACACAACCACAAACCCGGCACGAAGGCCGTCAACGACATAAACGGCGCGATGGCCGACAACCCTGCGGCTTTACCTTCTCCTCCGGCGAGGACGGGGATGACGGCGTGGACGAACGGCGTGGACGAACGTTCGTCCCCTCCACCTCGGCTTCCTCGCCCTCTCCCCTTCTCCTCCTCCTTCTTCCTCCTCCTTCTTCTTCCTTTTTCTTCTCCTTCTTCCTCCTCCTTTTTCTTCCTTCTTCTTCTTCCTTCTTCTCCTTCTTCCTCCTCCTTTTTCTTCCTTCTTCTTCTTCCTTTTTCTTCCTCCTTCTTCTTCCTCCTTCCTCTTCCTGCTACCTTCTTCCTCCTTCCTCCAGGGCCACGGCGGGCTCGCCATCACGCTTCCTGGGCACGGGCAGGCGGGCGGGGCGCCAAGCGGCAAGCGCATGCTGCGCGAAGAGGTAAGCGCCCTGTAACCGGTGGCCGGAGGCCGACCGAGGTGGGCGAGGGCGCCGAGCGGGCGCCGGGCCGGGGGCGGGCGAGCGGGCGGGCGCCGGGCGCGGGGCGCCCGGGCGCCTGGCCAGGCTGGCACGGTCGGGGTTGGGAGGGGCGGCGGGCACGGCCGGGCCGGCAGCCAGGCCAAGCCTGGGTTCATGGGCGAGTCAGGACGGGCGGGCGGTCAGGCTGTGGTGGGCGGGCGGGCGAAGCGCAGGCGGCGGGCGGGCGATCCATGGCGGCAGGCAGGGTGTGTGCGTGAGTGTGTTGTGTGGAGTGATTGAGTGTGGGGCGGCTCACACATTTAGTTTGTTTTCCCGCTTGTCGAGTCTTTGGGCGGCCTGGCTTTTCGGCAAAGCTTTTTTTTTTTTGGGATTCTTTGCCGAGTGCCACTTCCTGGCACTCGGCAAATGTTTTTTTTTGTTTTTTTGCCCCATTATTTTTTGCAGCCTTAATATATTATTTAAAACTCCATGTTCAAATTTGGCACAAATTTGACTTTTTTTGATTCAAATTTGCACTGCAGGTGCATGGAATAATCGAATTTGGTCGTTCAAAAAATGATATTCATGATATTTGGTGTATGTTGAGGCCGTATCCAGGAACTCACATGAAATTTCGAGCATCTTGTTCACGTAACATGACAAGGTACCTGCGGGAAAAGTGTATTTAAATTATATAAAATCCGAACGAAGTCCGAAAATGACGGAACTTGTCGGGGCGTCGTGTTATCGCATGTAGAGGGCTTTTGCTGAGTGCCGCCCTTTGCCGAGTGCCGGGAACTCTGTGGCACTCGGCAAAGTCACTCTTTGCCGAGTGCTAGACTTTGCCGAGTGCCACCCGGTCCGGCACTCGGCAAAGAGTGGCTTCGCCGTGTGCCCGATTTTTGGCACTCGGCAAAGCTGGCGGCACTCGGCAAATCTGCGTTCTCCCGTAGTGACACCTTCATCCATCAAGTTTCCAAAATGTAGGATGCTATTGACAACGAGCACCTCTTCAGGGTCGATGTCCAAATCATCAACACCAACCGTCTCCCACTTAGCTGCAATGCCATGGAACTTGAATGGCACGCCGAACTGATGAGGATAACTGCTAAGCCGCCATACATCTCCTCGACCCGAGCAGCCGGGCGGAACCCAGTCAGGGAAGATCAATGCCGCGTGATCCTCACTTCCGGTGGCCCACCCGGCCATATAGATAAAAGTTTCAGCAAACCAGGCCACTGGGACCCGTAATGTATGCCGTAATCCACAATGTGTACCTTCTTCCTCCCTGCAATAGCCTTGCAAATGGTCATGTTGGCGAACTTGAAACCCATAACTCTGAAGCAGCAGGCTGCTGCATACAGCCGGTAGGCTTTGAGGAAGTCCACGGCTGAGGTGCACCTTGCCATGAGCGAATTGTACAGTTTGCTTCCTGAACCAGCCAGCCGCGCCTCCAATCCCTCCGCGAAATAATGCGCCAGCCTTTGTGTGGTGTCTCCCCGTGGAGAAGAGTGCTGCTTGATCTTCCAAAGCAGTTCGGCTGCGCTCCGGCGGTCGTCCGTTGCCACAGCCTGTGCACAATGTATGAGCAAGGTGCACAAGTCCACCGCTCCATTGGCACTCCGCGCACTCCCTTTCCTGCTCTTCTTCTTCCCATCCTCATTGCCCATACTGATGCGGAGGCCCTCCATCTCTCTGAAGAACAATTGGAACCCATTGGCAATCATTTTGTCAATCACCTCACCAGATTCCTCCGGCTCCGGTGCCATCATCTTGCCCTCCCTGCACAAATTGGCCTCTAGGACATCGTCCCGGTTGTGCCGGTTCTTGCTGCCTCTGCAATTGGCACTTGCCTCTTCCTTCACTTGGAGGACGGTGGCAGAGCCACGCAGCAGGTCGATGTCTCTAGGCAGGAACTTGTTGGCCTCTTCCATGCCCTTGAGGAACATGGCCTTGCTTCCCCAATCCTGCTGGGCACTGAAGAATGACGAGGCCAGCGCGGCGTGGTCACCATCTACGACTGCAAGCAAGGTGCGGTTGGCCTTTTTCTCCATCTCCTCCTCGGCGGCGGTGTCACTCCGGACGCCAGCATCCCCCAATCGCGCCGGACTCTCATCACTCCGGACGCCAGCATCCCCAAATTGCTCGGACGTGGTGCTGGCGTCCGTGGTGAGGTCGTCGGCCCCCACTCCCGCGTCGGAGCCGGAGGACACCGACACGGTGGGGCTGCCGTCCGAACACGAATCCGCGGTGGCGTCGGAGAGGACCCGCGTGTACGATTCCTGAGCTTGCTGGAGCGCGGGGTGGTCCGGGTACTGGTAGAAGAACTCGTCGTCGATCCCCTCCTCCATGAGTATGCACTCGATAAAGGGGAGGCCGAGGTCGTCGGAGGTCGGGTCCTTGCCCTCGCCATTGCAGTTGGGGCGGGGCGTCGCGGTCAGGTCGAGGAAGATGGAAGGGGAGAAGGGCTCGTCAAGGTCAGCCAAGGAAACCTCCGGCGAGGCGGCCATGGCTGCCAGGCTGGGATAAAAAATGGAAGAAGCGGTTGCCAGTGGCGGAGCCAGGATTTATACTCAGGGGGGCCGGCCGTCAGGAATTATACTTAGGGGGGGCTGGCTCGGTCTTTTTCATTGCGATAATTTTATTATCTAGTTATGTTTTGTATAATTATATTATCTAGAAGATATTAATAGGTATATATGACAAGAATTTTATATAATCTCCCTCTTAATATAAATAAAAAATATTAAGTCATACTACTATTTTTTTTTTTGTTGTGAAACATTTGGGGGGGCCATGGCCCCTGCCAGCCCCCGCGGTTGCCGTTGTGGTGGACTGGTGGGCGGATAAAAACGGGAAAGCGCCGAGAAGGTCGTTCTGAAAATTCTGATGCGACCTTGGCGGCTGCGAGATGAGGCCAAACGCAACTGCTGCGACTCTTGTTTTGTCTTCTCCCGTCCGTGGACCCTCCGGAGACGTCAATTTGCAAACAAACAGTCTTCTTGTGCCAGGCTGCAGTATCAGGCACCTGCTAGGCTGCTACGGACTTACATTGAAACAGAGTAACGGCTTCCTAATTTTTTTTTTTTTTTGAATTTTCTTATTACTAGAATGCAGCAAACATGCATCATGCTGAACATGCATCAGAAAGGTGGAACAATGCACTGCACCTCATACATGATTAGTGGTATGTCTCTGTCACCTCGCATGACAATGACAATATTCTGAATTTGCTCATGCTGAACATGCATCAGAAAGGTGGAATAATTTATAAAGTGGATGGACAGAGCAAAAGACAGACCAAGTTGCACCTGCTTCAGATCTGCATATGCCAGCCTCTAATAATCAGACTGCCCACCTTTCCTCAGGTGTTCTACGCACCAGTAAGCCAGTAACTCAGTATCAATATTGCAAACACTGCTACTCTGATGCCTAAAGTTCAAGGTTCATATGAGAATCCCAATAGGTAGAGAATCGTACTAAATTAACTGACAGCCAATTTACAGATGTGCCAATTTACATTCCGCTGTTATACAATAACTGACAGCCAATAGTTTGATCCCCAAAATAAAAAGACAGAAACACCTCTTTCAACTGTACTCTGAATGAAAGAATTCAGAAAACATTCAGCAGAAACCGTCCCCAGGAATAGGTAGAAAATGGGAAAAGTTTCTTTCAAAAAAAGAGAAAATGGGAAAAGTATGGTATCAGTAAGTTTGCATTTGAAACAATCACCAAAAAATAAAGCAGCAGAAATCACTACTCTGAATAACAGAATAATAGGTGCGCTTTTAACGCTTAATCACGTGTCTGTTTACTCTTTCCAGGTGCAAGGGAATACAATGTTTCAACAAAAAGTGGACTTCACAACACAGGTACCACAAGTGGCCTTTCAGTTTGTCGTACATTTACACAGGTTCTGCAGCAACACACTGAGAACTAATCTAAGATCCTATGCAGATATAAGAAGCAACAAGAACACCCAAAGAAGCATCTACTATTACATTATTAGAAGACATTTTAATGCATCTACTGCTTATATCCAAGCATCTTTAAATAAAGTGTGTTGAACCACATAATACAGAGGCATATATCTCTGTATCTTGTGATGAAAAGCCATTAAAGTCCTGAGATAGCATCATCTGAATTCTGAAACTCATGTCGACATGGCATAGAGTATGCATACCTTCCACCACAGCTGCTGAGCAGCTCATGAAGTTCATTGGTAAGACAGAAATTCAGAATCATATATGTATAGTTGCAATTATCGATATTTCTGTATGCAGTGAGAAAAGCAGCTAAAGTTCTGAGACAGGATTATCTGCAACCCATGTCGACATGGCATAGAGTATGCGTCCCTTCCATCCTTGCAGGAGCCAATTATGATCCGTATCAATGACAAAGTCCTTGTGATACTGAACCCTAACATTGTCCCTCAAGGTCTTTACAATATCTGGATCCAATGGAAGCTGCTTTAGCCCTGCCCGGTGGTTCCGCACCTGCCATTGCTTATATGTCTCCGGGCGCTCCACCCTGCCCGTGCCCTCACAGGCAACAACATTGAGGCTACACTGCCTAAAGAGGTGCCGCTCAACCAAAAAGCGCTGGTGACTATCCCGTGGAGCCGTGGCATCCAGCATGTCAAACATTGCAGAGTAAAAGAACAGCGCCTCACGGAAACGTGTTACAAAGAATGGAGCGCTAAACGAGACATTCATGACATGAAGGACGAACGCATCAGGTTGCATCTTGCGAATGGTTCTGAGGACAACATCCCTAGGGCTTGGGCTATCAATGTCGACCCCCTCATCCATCAAATTTCCAAACTGCATGATACTGTTGACAATGAGTACCTCATCAGGGTCAATGTTCAGGTCATCAACACAAACTGTGTCCCACCTCACCGTGATGCCGTGGAACTTGAATGGCACACCGAGCTGACGAGCATAATTCACGCCGGGCTGGGGGAGATCAATGCCGGTGATTCTCACTTCAGGAGGCCCACCCTCCAAGGTCGCCAAACGGTATAGCAAAGTTGGCCACTGAACCCCACAATTCACGCCGTAATCCACGATGTGAACCTTTTTCCTCCCAGCGATGGCCTTGAGGATTGTCATGTTGGAGAACCTGAATGCCGTCATTTTGAAACAGCATGCTGCCAGGTACAACCAGTAGGCCTTGAGGTACTCCACGACCGGGATGCGCTCAGCCATGAGAGACCTGTAGAGCTGGCTCCCTGACCCTGCCAGCCGCGCCTCCAATCCCTCTGCAAAACAATGTGCCAACCTCTGTGTGGCATCACCCTTCGGTGACGAATGCTGCTTGATCTGTCTAAGCAATTCGGTCGCACTCCGGCGGTTGTCCGTGGCCACGGCCTGTGCACAGTGGATGAGCAAGGTGCTCAACTCCACTGCCTCGTTGGCGCTGGACCTTCCCTGTGCCGACTTCCCTCTGCCCTTCATGGTGTTCTTCTTAGCACAATTCCTCGCTGCCCATAGTGATTCGCAGGGCCTTCATTTCTTTGAGGCACAATTCCATTCCATTGAAAATCATTTGATCGACCATCTCGCCAGTTTCCTCAGGCTCGGGCACCATCAGCTTGCTCTTCCTGCACGTCTCAGCCTCCAAGTCATCCCAACTGTACGGTTCCTGGGCTTGGAGACCGAGGACGGCGAGACGGTGGCGGGGGAGACCGAGGCGGCGCTGTTGGTGCGAGCCGTGGCAGCGTCAGAGAGGATCTGCGCGTACGGTTCCTGGGCTTGGAGGAGCACGGGGTGGTCGGGGAACTGGTAGAAGAATTGGTCGTTGATGTCCTCCTCCATGAGGATCCGCGTGATGAAGGGGAGGACGAGGTCATCCGACGAGGCCGGGACCTCGCCGTTGCCATCGGGGCGGGGCGTCGGGGGCAGGTCGAGGAAGATGGACGGGGAGAAGGGCTCGGGGTCAGCGAAGAGGCCCTCGCCCTCCGGCGCGGCGGCCATGGCTGCTGGTGAGATAAAAGTCCAAGAACGGCGATGCTTTGTTTAGAGTGTGGGTGGATGAAAGTTCAAGCTTTTTGGTTTCTCTTCGCCATCCAGAAGGAAAGGAGCGGCACTAGTAGTCAATCAACGAAGGAAAGTTCGGAGAAGACGAATGCTACAGTGGTGGCGGATCACCGAGAGTCCTACCAGTGCTTGATAAAAAAAAAAGTCCAGGGTACACCTGCTGCATTTTGGATAAAAAAATGATCAAACACCTGCTGCTAAGTGCTAAACTGTCCAACAACCGTGACCCAAAATACAATAATCATTCGTTATTTAGGTAACGCTACAGGCAAAAGGTTCAATATCTATTTTTTTTGTCTTCTTCAACAACAAAACCAAAAAAAAAACCCTTTCTGCAAATGGGTCTTCAGGAGAGGGGATACTCAGATTTAGATTATGTCTCTCCTGGCACCCAAAATTTAGTCTTTCATAGGTACTCTATTGAAGACTATAGATATCATGTTGAATACTTATTTTGGGTTTGGGTTCTGCAATGGGTCTCCTATTAGAGACAGCGGAGTACTAGGTAGGAGTAGTCTCTGTCTTGTGTACAACAGAAAAACTTTTTTTTTCTTTTGCTTGACCAAACCCTGCAGTATCAAATACACAGCAGAATACATGCAAACAGGTACCAGTCTTGGCCAAAAAAGGTTCTATCAAATACACAGCAGAATACATGCAAACATGTACCAGTCTTGGCCAAAAAAGGTTCTTTCTTTCTTTTGGAGGAGAATACACAGCAGAAATTTTAACTATGGTCAGCTGGGAATATAATACACTTAATTACAATACCTGTGACCTGTCTGGACGAGAAAATGATGCTGAATATTCAGTCGAAACTGTACTCCCTATGACACACTGAATTTGCGACTCTTGTTGTATATGCATAATATAGTAATATGGATGAACAGAACAAAAGACAGACTAATCTTTACCTGCTTCAATTGTCCCAATGTCAGCCAGTCATAATCAACTTGTCCAGGTTTGGTCAGGTGATCTCCCCTGTTCCACACATGCATAGATGAACCAAATTTTTAGTGCTCCAAACCTGGAAAAGAAATAAACAAGACATAGAACCACAAATGCTCAGCCTATGAGATTGAACAAACAGGCAAAAATATTGTATAAGGAAAAACATAGTGCAAGAAATGACTAGTGCAAACAAGAAGCATCAGACTTTGAACAGTAAGTTTATCCAAGGCAACTGTAGCTTTATGGAAGATCGGTATAGTAGAGTCCTAGCAGATTTGCTGCAGACGATCTTTATTTATTGCTAATATATGATAAAGGATCATTACAAACACCACAAAAACCATTATAACTGTTAGATGCATAAATTTGAATGCATCCTCGAGCTGATACAAGCCTGACTCTTCCCATATTGCAGAAACATCACATAATCCCGAATCTAGTGAACACTTTTAGCTGTACTTGTCTGGATGAGAAAATGATGGAAGTATCGAGCCAAATAGAATACTTTGAGTAAACAGAGCAACTTTGATAATCACGCCTAGACACAAGGGAAATGCCAACAGTCTAGTGATACAGAAGAAACAGAACTGGAAGAGACAGATAAAAAGTCGAATAAGTAATCAATAAAATTGCTTATCAGTTACAGGTGGTGTACACATCACAATTCTGCAACATATCCAGAACTATATCTACATCCTATGTAGCTCCAAGCCTCTAAGCATCTATTGTTCTACTTATTTCTAGCTTACAAAGTTTCAGCACTAAAACCCTCTAGGCCACAGATGCTGGGCCATAGTTTGGTGGTAAAATAAAGACAGACCATCTATCAAGCATCAATATCATTCATAATCCAAAACAAGGCGAAGTGAAGCAGCTAAAAGATGGAGTTATTATCCTCAGCAACCCATGTTGACATGGCAAAGAGGACCCGCCCTTTCCATCCCTGCAACAACCATTGATGATCCTCATCGATGAGAAAGTCTTTGTGGTAATAGTTCTTGACCTTAACCCTCGCAAGCTTTACAACCTCTGGATTTAACGGTAGCTGCTTGAGCCCAACCCGGTGGTTCCGCACCTACCATTGCTTATAAGTCTCAGAGCGATCCAACCTGTCTGCACCCTCACAAGCAATAACATTTAGGGCACATCGCCCAACAATATCCCGCTCGATCAGCAGCCGTTCATCATTATCCTGGGGAATGGTTGCATCAGCATGTCAAATAGTGCTGAGTAGTAGAACAGTGCCTCCCGGAACCGTGTGAGGAAGAATGGAGCACCATATGTGCCATTATTGACAATCTGGATGAAAATATTGGGTCGCATCTTTCGAATGTTGTTGAGCACCAAATCTCTGGGGCTTGGGGTGTCAACGTCAACAGTCTCATCCATCAAGTTGCTGAAGTGGCACTCGCTGTTCACAACAAGCACCTCATCTGGATCAATGTTGAGGTCCTCAGCACAGATCGTCTCCCACTTTGCTGCTATAGCATGGAATTTGAATGGCACGCCAAATGCACGGGCACAGTTGCTAAGCCGGCGGCCTGTTTCTTCAATCTGGTACGCTGGGCGGAACCCAGGTTGCGGAAGGTCAATGCCAGTGAACCTCACCTCTGGAGGTTCACCTTCTCTGCCTGCAAGGAGATGTAGCGAGCCTGGCCACTGTAAACCATACTGTACACCATATGCCACAATGTGCAACTTGCTCCTCCCTGCCACGGCATCCACGATGTTCCTGTTGGGGAAGATGATATGCACCTTATTGAGGCTGACGGCTGCCAAGAATAGCTTGTATGCCTTGAGGAACTCCACAACCGATGTGCGTTTTGCCACGAGCGACTGGTACACCTGGCTCCCTGTGCCAGCAAGTCGGGCCTCTAGTCCTTCTGCAAAACAATAGGCCAACCTCTGTGTGGCATCCCCTCTAAAAGAGGAGTGCTACTTGATCTGTTTCAGCACCTCGGTTGCACTTCGGCGATCACCTGTGGCCATTGCCTGTGTGAAATGGATGAGCATGGTGTGCAGGTCAACAAACTCGTCACTACTGGAGGCCGCGGCTTTGCCGAGTGTTTTTACACTCGGCAAAGAGCCCTTTGCACTCGTCAAAGGCTTTGCCGAGTGTAGCACTCGGCAAAGTCTGTTCGGCAAAAAAAATTTCGGCAAAGGGTATTTGCTGAGTGCTTTTTATCGAGGCACTCGGCAAAATACAAAAAAATTTGCTGAGTGCTTGGGGCGGCACTCGGCAAAATATTTTCGGCCGTTGCGGCGCCGGCCGTTAACAGTTATTTTGCCGAGTGCCCGACCCAGCACTCGGCAAAAAAAAATTATTTTTTTAAAAAATTACTTTGCCGAGTGCCCAAGCCCAGGCACTCGGCAAAGTTTTTTTTAAAAGTACTTTGCCGAGTGCCCCTGCCCAGGCACTCGGCAAAGTTTTTTTTTATTTTTTTAAAATAATTTCTTTGCCGAGTGCCCCTGTTTAGGCACTCGGCAAAGAATTTCTAATTTTTTTTAAAAGAAATACTTTGCCGAGTGCCGCGGCGAGGCACTCGGCAAAGAAATTATATATTTTTTTTTTTGAAAAATCTTTGCCAAGTGCCTTGCCCATGGCACTCAGCAAAGACCCCGAGAATTGCAAATTTTTTTTATATTCCATTGTAACAGACAATATATATATATATATATATATATACATCAATCATCACATCTATATCACCAACATGCATTATATATCACAAGTACATGCATATTTAATAAATTCATCGAAAATCCATCACAAATGCACCAAAGTTCAACATCACAAGTTTATTATTACAAGTTCAACATCACAAAGTTCAACAACCCTACTGTGGCGACGGAGACTGCAGGTGTGGCCCCCCGAACTGCGGTGAAGGACCGGACTGCGGCGAAGGGTTGACGCGATCAGCCGCCGGTGACACGGTAGCGGGATTGTTTGAACCCGCCGACGGAGGCTGCACAAAAGAGAAGAGATTGCATATGTTAGACTAAAAGCAGAGGATTGGTTACATCACAAGATACCAGAAACAAGTTTTTTTTTTGGAGGATAAGAGCATAGTATAACACAGTTGAAGAAAAACATAAAGCCCGGACAGCAACATTTTTTCCAGTTAGCAGTCAAGTGCACGAAATAAGATTGGATTATAGGCTAGGAAAAGTAGGTCATCATTGCATATGCCAAGTGCCTCAGTTTACTAAGAATAACATAAAGGACAATATTTATGTAATGGTTTGTGTCACTCCATATGCCAATTGCATCAATTCAATAAACTTGGAATAGCAATATCATAAAAGACCGAGTATTAGCCATAACATATGTTGAGGCCTCACTTCAAATGCAGATCAGATGAGAATGAAACGATGATAAAAGAGTAATAATCATGGCTGTTCTCATATACCATATTTGAGAAGAAAAAAAGACACTTGTTTGCAGCATCATTGGCACCGAAATATAGTCAGCAAAAAATACAAAATAACAATGGCATGGAAATATGCTCAGGTTTATTGGATGCACCTCGTAGGCACTATCATATGGTAAAATTGAAATGGCTACTTCATCAACAATAGCATATGCTGGGGATAAAATAAATCAATCAGCAGCATAGGCATCGTACCTCGCAGGCATTGGTATATGGTAAAATTGGAATGGCTACATCATCTGCAATGACATATGCTCAGGATAAAAAAAAAATCAGCAGCATTATTGGCTTATGGTTATATATGTTGAGAAGATCACAGCAGTAGCACAACGCATACAAACATGCTCAGATTGTATTGGCAGAAGGCAAATCAACCCATACACACAGAAAACGAAATCAAGGGGCAAAGGTTAAAGGGGAATTTTTTTGGTGACCGTACAAACACCAAGCAAGTTTAGGTAGGAAGAAATCGAATCGAGCGAGCACAGAATCTGCAAAGGTTAAAGGGAATTTTTAGGTGACCGTACAGTATATATGAGTTTCTAAGTAAAAACCTATAGTCTTCAGTTGCCAAGTTGTTAATCAGAATTCTGAGAACTGATCACAGGAAGGAATTGTAGCAGCTGCTGATGCTTATTAGAGGGAATAATACAACATCCTGATACTACTGCTACCAATAGACAGAAAAATAATTTGGCAAGAAAATGTCAAAACTGAAAACTAATTGTGATGAGCAATAGATTAGTGGCTGAACATGGAGTACTCAGTTTCATTTTTGCAGTGGGGAGTCAAGTATGATGCAGCAACTAAACAAGTATGATGCAGCAACTAAACAAGTAACTAAACAAGAGCAGGGGTGTGTTCTCTGATTATATCAAGATGAGATAACATTATTTTTTATTAAAAAAGCAGCAGTTTACTTAATGCCTAAACTGCATTGATCAAACAAATATCTAAAACTTGTACCTACTACAGTTGCAACTACATAATCACATAGATCAAACCAAAGATCCTTGTCTGTACTGAGTCAGATCAGTTCAAGTTTATTTAGTAAGAGGTAAACATGAGAGGAATATATTTTCTGAGATAGAGCTCACATTTGTTAATAAACTTTGGAGAAAGTAATATGTTTTCTTTATGACAAACACTCAATATGAAGTTCTTTTCAAACACAAACACTCAATATGAAGTTCCAGTACAATGATTATTATCCAATAGAACTCATAATAAAAATGAGCTGTGCTGCTGCACTAGTTACTGAAACTCCTATTCAGACAAGCACGAGTTGCAACATCTAGCGCTGAGAAATGTTGAATAAATGGTAGCAGCCACACCTGAGCAACATCTAACCTTGCTTTTTGCATTGCTTTCATCGCTGCAGCTCCAGTTCTCAATGCATCAACAGTCTCTGTTGTAGCTTTAGCTGCTTCTAACATGAGCATCTCTATAAAAATTGGGTTATACAGCTAACACACATAATAGACCTTACTATGCACAGGAAAGTAGAAGCCGTGAGTCGACAGTTCAGCACCAGCGTCTCGCAGAGTCGGCAGCCAACGAGCCCCTCCCTGTGCAGCACCAGCAGCTGGAACATGCTCATCTTCGTCCTACAGCGACCAGCACATCCCACAGCACCGGCAGCGGCTGCACGTGACTGCATGAGTTAAAATTAGCCTCTGATAATATGCAAATCTTATGCATAGATGGCAATTTAATCCAAATTAACCTGAGATAAGCACACATAAAAGGAGATGAGTTTTCCAACAGAGAAACCAAAGCCAAAAACCAAGGGTAAATCCCCAATTTCTCTCCAGAAACCCTAATCCTAATGACAAGATTAGAAAATCTCACCAACGAAGGGCTCCGCTCGTCCCGGCGGCCATGAGCTCAGGCTAGCTCTTGCATGATGGCTCGGACGTCGCACCTCCGCTTTCTTCTTCAGCAGGCGTCATGCATCGAAAGGGGGGCCACGCATGGGACAGCTGAGGGCACCGGCAATGCCAGCGCTGCGGCGCTTGAGGATAGCGCATCTGCGCCGCGCGCTTGAGAGGTCTGTTCTTGGAGGCAGCGACGGTGGTGGCGCCAGTACTTGAGGCGGGTGACGGACCTGAGGCGGCGACAGGCGCGGATCATGGCGCGAGGCCGGCTGGAGGCCTGGCGCTGGGCGCACGCGAGAGCGAGGCAGGGGCTCACGGGCGAGGCGCAGCGCTGCAGCCTTGGTGTGGGCGGCTGGCTGGGTGGGCGGGAGCGGGGCGTGGCTGGGGCGTGAGGGTTGGGCATGCAGGGGTTGGGGTGGGTTTTAGGGCAATTTTTTGAAAATCAACTTTGCCGAGTGCCCTGGGCTTGGCACTCGCAATTTTTTTTTTTTTTTAAAACTTATTTTGCCGAGTGCCAGCCCCAGGCACTCGGCAATTTTTTTTAAACATATTTTGCCGAGTGTAATCCTTGGGCCCTCGGCAAATTTTTTTTTTAATTTTTTAAAACTTATTTTGCCGAGTGCCAGCGCCCAGGCACTCGGCATTTTTTTTTTTTGAAAATCAACTTTGCTAAGTGCCCCCTGGGCCGGCACTCGGCAAAGCCCACTTTGCCGAGTGCTCCCATGGCACTCGGCAAACTTTTTTTTTGATTTTGGGCCCAAATTTTTTTCTAGGGCCATGTGACAGTATTTCAAACTCTATTTTAAAATTTGGGGCAATTTTGACTTTTTTTTATATATTTCATTAGTTTATTTCGTTGCGTCGAATTTTTCGAGATATTTCAAATTTAAACTGCAGGTACATGGAACAATGGACTTTGGTCATCCAAAAATTGATACTCATGATATTTAGAGTATGTTTAGGCCGTATCCAGGAACTCACATGAAATCTCGAGCATCTCGTTGACGTAACATGTCGAGGTACTTGCCGGAAATATGATTTTAAATTATATAAAATGCAAACGAAGTCCGAAAATCACGAAACTTATCGCAGAAGGCTGTGCTAGAAAATTGAGAAGGTTTCGAGCAAGTTGTGATGTCGGATGCCAAAAACCCAGACATCTCCACGTGTGAAACGAAGTGATAACACGTGGAGATGTCTGGGTTTTTGGCATCCGACGTCATTACTTGCTCGAAATCTTATCAATTTTTTACCACAGCCTCCACATGCGATAACACGATGCCTCCACAAGTTTCGTGATTTTCGGACTTCGTTTGGATTTTATATAATTTAAATTCACTTTTCCCTCAACTAACTCGACATGTTACGTCAACGAGATGCTCGAGATTTCATGTGACTCCCTGGATATGACCTCAACATAAGCTAAATATCATGAATATCAATTTTTGGATGACCAAATTCCATTATTCCATGGACATGCATTTCAAATTTGAAATACGCTGAAAAAATCAATGAAACCAAATAAATTAATGAAATATACCTAAAAAAGTCAAAATTTCACCAAATTTTAGAGTAGAGCTTTAAATATTGTCACAAGGCTACACAAAAAAAATTGGGTCCAAAATCAAAATATATATATATATATTTTGCCGAGTGCCATGGGGAGCACTCGACAAAAATG